TTTGGCGAATTTCTGGAAAATTTCACTACAATCTTATTAAATAATGTGACCCTAGATGATTTTGGCGAGATTATTAATCCCATTATCCCTTTGTTAGTTTCGATTGATCGATAGCACCACCTTGAATGATCAAGTTTAAAGATATAGAACAAAAACCAAAGCAATCAAAGATTTAAAGTATTTAGAGAAACTTCTCAAGAGTTTACTAATCAATAATCAAGTGAGTTTCTCGACAAGATATGTATATGAATCTATTTATACTAACTAGTGCCGGCAATAGAAGGAACATATTTTTTGGTAAATTCGACGACAATTAAATAAGACTAGATTTTAAAAAAAAAAAAAAAAGTTCAACATGGACTACAAAAACTCTAGTCTAATTCTTTTATATAACTTAACTTCTTAATCTAAATCAAATATAGAATTCTAGCTAAAGAGAGTTAACCTCATTGTTACAATCAAAATCTATTGGATTTTCGGTTAGAGTTCGCTTCTTGAAAATCTAGAAAAAATTTATTCTCGTGTATATGTATATTGTTTGCTGAATTTTTCCCTAAAGAAGTTCTCAACTTTTACTTGCACTAGTTTATTGGCACTATATATAATTTAAGTGACAAGCCTCAAGAGGAAAAGAAAAATTGAGTCCATAAATTAAAGATATATAGAACAAGATTGCGGTTAGAATTCATTAAAAAAAAACATATATATATATATATATATAAGCAAGTTTGAAGTTTTTTCTTATAGGAAAAGGAAGGGTTAATTATTTTGAAGTTACAAATAAGTGTTTGGAAATCCTTTTAAAACCATAAATTTTAAAAATATTTTCAATTTTTTTTTTAATAACAAACTTGTTGTTCAGAATATGATTTTGATGCAAATCAAAATTTTGAAAACTACTTCAATATGGCTCCAAAATAATGGGAGGGAAAAGCCAAAAGAAAAAAATATTAGGAGGTGACCATTTGTGATATAGTGTGGAAGAACTTTCTAAGTTTTTTATCATTAGATTTTGTATTTAAAACCATATCATCCACAACTCTCTTCAGCTCCTTCATTTCATTAGAGATCTTCGAACAATTTTATTTTTTTAATGAAATATATTATTATATTCGATTAAAATAAATGGTATATAAAATAGAAATCCTATAAAAAGGATAAAATCCTCATTTCATATTGGTTATGAGAGTTGTATAAGAAATGTAAATATATCTTATGTAATTGTATTATATCATATAATGCAATCATCGTTAGAATTTCTAATTTAATGAGTTAGTAGTATATAAGTTAGTAACCAAACAGTATGATAAAAAGCCGTAATGAATATCAAACACTCACTTACTCTGTTGGGATTACATGCTTGATGCTACAAACACGCCTCCAGTGTGTCACTTGCAAAAAGGAAAAAAAAAAGGAAATAGGTGATGATCGATTTTTCAGGTAAGATATAGATTAATTTTGTTAACAAGGGTTATGTAGTCACTCAAACTAATAACAGAAGTAGGCCTTTTTAGCCACTATCTAGTTGGCTGCCTTCCTTGGCGTAGTCTATAGATTTTCAGGAAAAAAATAATTATTATTATAACAGAAGGTAGGGTGAAAGGAAGCATGTTAAGCCTTACGGCCAGTTTTGTTTATCGTTTTTTTTTTCTTTCTTTTTTTAACAAAAAGCCTAGGGCCTTTATAACTCCGAAGCTACTTGAAGAGACTCTATGTTTCTACCCATCTCTTGCTCAATGTCAAAGTTTAAACGTTGCCTAGCTAAGTGCCTTAAGTCTATACCTGCTGCCCTGCTGGACGGTGGCTGCCGTGAGCGGCAATGAAAATTCATAAAGCCTTGAAACCTAGACACCTTGCTATATATGTGTGTGTGTGTTACCGGCTAGAGTAGAACAACAAAGAAAAAAGAAAAAGAAAATACATTTACCTAATGTCCAAAGTTGGTAAAATAACACTATAAGTCTGTTGTTTGATAATCGAAATAGAGTGGTGGGAATAGAAATGCAAGAATCGGAATGAAAATTAAGGAATCGAAATGTCATTTGTATTCTCATACCGTGTTTAGAATACTAATAATATATCGGAATGCAATTTAAATTTTTTAATATCTGATTTTTTATACAAATAAAAATAATAATTAAAAAATAATTTTATCAAGCTATAATGGTTATAAAAATAATAAAAATAATGGTGGTGGTGGTGGTGGTTACGGTAGTGGTAGTGATTTTTTGTTATGGTTGTGATAATGATAGTGGTGGTGGTAATAAAAGTAGTTAATAGACAATAAATAAATAAAATATATTATTAAATTTGAAAAACAAATTCATTCACATTCTTTATTTTTATTCCTATATCTTATATGGAAATGAAGTCATGTGTAAAATTTCATTCTCATTCTCACATTATTTATTTTAACTAAAAAGCTATAACGTGAGAATAAAACTTTTATTCTCATTCCTATTACTCTATTTTTTATTATCAAACAGCACCTAACATTAATAATGTTAGGAAGCCAATGCAATCTTCGTCCTAATGGTAAAGGTACCATCATGTGTACTAAGACTATGTTTATCTCAAATTAGATTTTAAACGAGACAATTAACGTTTGAATTAGAATGTTTATTATAAAAATGTTTTTTTTATATACAATCTTTCAGAATTCAAATCATAAATAATGAAAAACTGATTCGTATACCAATTAACTAAATGAAGCCTTGAATGGAATAAATAATTCTCGTAAGAATAAATTGATAGGAAGTCTAATTGAATAAAAAATTGGCAACAGTGAACCATACATTAATTGGGATGTTGTCATCCTGATTCCTATATGATTCAAATCCTCAATCAAATAAATGAAATAAATAGATAAAATTAAAGATTCCATTTTAGCTCACCGACATTACCCTCGACAACCAATTAATATATATATATATAGCTTTCGATTGAGGGAACTGTGGAACATGATTTTTGCTTCCAGTCTTTGTAGTGCTGCGTAACACGATATCCATGAAAGAGCACGTGAAGGATGTTCCTCTTGAGATCCTAAGCTGTTTTAGTAACTCATTAATGATAGAAGATTGAGTTTGGCTGGCAAATTTGGTTTGAATGATAGGTGGCGAAACTTAATAAAAAGATGCTGGTAAGTGAGTTAGTGAAATCTGTTTTGACGAGGCATGGTATGGCAAGACGAGCGATTGATTTACAAGAAAAGATCATGGGTTTTCGTTATATAAAGAAAGCGAGTTTGAAAACCTTAACGCGTTTGGGGTTTGGATTTTCACCAATTCTAAATGGTTTATGTTCAATTAGCTAACCAAACCTTACTTTTTTTCAGATTGTTATGTCGCTATTCATTGTCGAAAGGTTTAAATTGGGTTTTTTGGGCAGCTTTTGTCCCTCAACTATTACGATTATGATACATTGGGTCTTGAATCAACACTTTTTCATCTGGGAGCATACTTTCTCCATCTGCCTCGATTTGATTTCACCAATTACAAAATTTTTGGATAATGAAAGTATTATTTTATTTTTAATGATATTTTTTTAGCTTCCTTTCCTTATTAGGTTTGGGAGCGTTTCTTCTATCGTTGTAATTTTGTGAATATTTGAAAAAAAAAAGGAGAAAAAATATTTTCTGACTTTGAAATATTTTGAAATTATGTTTGAAGTTAGTATAGATTTTTATTAATATTTATGAAATTTTCAATTCAAACTGTCAAAAAAAAAAAAAAGAATTGGATAGAACAAGTATTTAACTGTTTGATTTTTTACTGCTAAAATATGTAATGATTCTTTATAAATAATTACATTATCAATAAAATTATCTTTTCAACGATTAGTTTTTAATCATTATTTTTCGTTCTCTCTTATTGGAACCAACTGATCACAATCGTTTCATCGTATTTATTATTTACATCACTAACAGTTTCACAAATAAAAACACCTAAAAAGTGCTAACCACTCCTGGAAGGCCTAAGCATTCTCCTTTATAGCATACCAAAGCCGAAGAGAACAAGAAAATTTTATAATATACAAAAAGTAACTAGTGACATATACAATAGTTACTCCTTATATTCACTTTGAGAAGAGAGATAGACACATAAAAAAGAGAGAAATTATATCTATACCCATCAAAAGTGATAAGAAGATTTTCACGTCTCGCTCAAATTTTTTTATTCTCTCTCTTCTATTTTTTCTCTCTATTTTTATATGTCTATCTCTCTCCTTAAAGTGAATCCAAAGAATAATTACTGTACATACCACTAATTACTCCTTTGTATTATAAAATTTCTCGAAGAGAACAGGCCGAAATCCAATCCCGAAATTAACATTAACATACTGTTTCTTCTCTAGCTTCGTTTTATTTGTTTCTTTTATCACAAAATTAACCATAGTTTAAGTAACGTAATTTCTTTAATCTCAAAATAAAAAAACGGCTTAAGTAACGGAATTTAGAAGCTGTCGCGGCCAAACAACCATTAAATCATTTTCCCTGAATTTATTTTGTGATTACGATTAGATCATTTAAACTGATTACTTTATAAAAACACCAACTTTAATATAGTAATCATATCATTTGATTTATAAATATTTCACGCCCAATTTAACGGCGACCATCAAGCAGCGATTTAAAACCAATTTCAATAAACAAACAAGCACCCAGTGGAAGCACGAGAGTTCAATCAACACATCAAAAGAAATCAAATCAATGCAAACATAACTATCATAGCAAATGAGGCAGAAAATGAACAAGAAACATGAACAGACCATATATTTGGATGGCATCCACATAACCTAATTCTCCTAATTATGACATTTGATGTTTCAATCTTATCAGTTAAGCTTTGTCTTCACCATACTTTCAAAAGAGGGTAACATTCATAACCACACTATATATCGCCAGATAAACACAACGTATATCAGTACACTTGCAAAAGAGAATCACCAACAGACTCAAAACATCAGGATCAAAACTTGGCTATCCAGTCATGATCTTGATTCTAAGCATAGCCAGTCATCCCAACAGAACTTGTACCATTTGTTTTGTGCCCTGCCTTAGTGACAGTAGCTTTGGAGAAATAAATGTAGTAGTATACATTGAGAATCATTGTTGCCACCACAAACACTGCCCCGGAAATAAAAACGCCTTTCCGCAATGTTTCACAGGTGAAGTTTTGAGCATAGATCATCCCACGATACTTTGTATGGTACGCATTTTTCTTTGCACCTGCAATTAAACATGCTTCTGCAACCAGAAAAGTCGCCCTGCAAATGCACAAAATGAAAAAGGTTTTGAAGTGTGAAGATGTTTCAAATTAAACCACAAAAATGCTGGAGTTCTGGAAAAGGAAAAAGATCCTCGGTCAAATGATAAATGTGAATTAATCACAGTTATCATAGGTCTTCCTTAAATCAGAGTACTATATAAAAACATGCAGTCAGTAGTCTTCCTCTGCCACTAATCTCTGATGTATAATTTGCAACAGCATGTCACTTTACCAACTACAAATGTATAGATCCTGGGAAGGAGATGCATAGGCATAGGAAAAAAAAAAAGATGAAAACCATATTGCAATACGAATGGTTTGTGTGTGTGTGTGTGTGTGTGTGCGCGTGCGTGCGTGCGTGTGTTCCTGTTCCTGCCTCAGCAATTCACTTGAAAGAAGAAACGATAAGTTAATATCAAGAGACAAATTGCAAGCTTTGACCGATAACAACGTATTGCATGAAGTAGTTTCCCTGTCAAGAACAGATAAAGAATGTTATCCTGTATATCAAAACTCTCACCATGATGAAACAAAAAAAATGATGGACCATGCTCGATCTCCGCCAGGGGCTAATGATCTACCAAAACACATGCATTTTGTAACACCCATCAATAGTGATTCACTTGAAAGAAGAAATAAGAAAGCGCCCACTCCATAGCCAGTTGCAACATCAGAGTTGTAGACACAGTATGTAGCATTTGTTGCATCTTTTTCAATATGGCCCTGTTTGCAGAAAAACATTGTCTTAATGAATCACAGATACCATGAATTGCTAAAATTACAATTTAGGACTAAATTCATTATTATTGTCATGCAAAACATTAATCATGCCCACAGTGCTATTCTTTGTCAACTGGAAGGGGACCAGTGCAAGCCATCTCTAACCAATTCAGGCTTTCACCCCAAGTTAGACCTGCCTCCACAGGGTCGCATCAAACAAAATCTCAGATTAGTGTCTTCCTATTGAGGATTTGCAGTTCCTAGAAAAGAGAAGAAAAAAAAATTTTTGGGGCCTAAATACTGTTTTCTAGAACTTCTTGAAAGCAAATACAGTGAACTGCATCTTTTACTTCTGTCTTCCAGATCACCGAAAGAAAAATCAACAGTAAGATGACTAGAATTTCTATTTTTGCCAATTCAATTTGTTACAGTTTTCCTTCTGGCAGAATAGACCATGTTTACCAGGAGCACGAGCCTAATGTACATCAGGAAATTCATAACTAAGAAACACAATTCTAAACGACTACATTTTTTTATTAGGCCATCATTTATTAATGCCAGAGTTCAATCATTTGAGGAATTGCATATCAAAAATGCTACATCGAGAAACTATCAAATTATGCCTCGCATCTAGAGTTCTAATTGTACATGCATACCTTAACACAGCGGATCAACTTCAGGTGTTTCTACCAGAGATACTTAATGTGATGCAGCGTCTGGGGCTCAAAGGCTATGACAGAGTAACATCCTAGTTTCCCACAAACAAATTATTAACGGTACATCAGCTACAAACAAGTCCATTAAGCTAGATCTTTTTCAAATAATTATTTTTGCATAATCCTGTGCATTATCACCCATCACAGCCTCACTCGTTATCAAAGCCCAACATCTTCATAAAAAATTCACCTGAAGTCACAGCACTCATACCAACACAAATATAAAATTTTCTCGCCCTGTACTAGTTTCAAGTCACTCGTTTTAGCCAAATTTAACCAATTTGGCAGCAGCCCAACTGCCAGGTCTCCAACTTTGAGACTCTCACCCCTCATCAAAAAACTTGTACCCAAATTCTCTACTTTATCATACCTTAAAACAACCGCAAACTTAAACAAAGCCCACTAATCCTTATACTAAGTTTTAAAACACTCAGATCTCTAGTTTATCTCATCTTACAAAACCTCCACAGACTCTAATAATACTAAAAACAGAGCCCAAAATTTAGTAACAAAACAGAGATCAATCAAACCACAAGGAATGAGAAACTATAAACAAAAACCCTAAAACCCTAACTTATAGCAAAAAAAGTAATAAAATAGAGAGAGAAAGTGAATGGAAAAGAAAAGAAAAGGAGTGCGTACAATGCTTCTACGTCTTTCAGCTGCAATGGCGAACCCAAATGCAACCAGACTTAGAACCACCACTAGAAGGTGAACCAGAGTCGACCCTTTTCCTTCTCCCATCTTAAAAATACAAATTTTCTTTCTCTTTCTTTCTTTTCTTTCTTTTCTTTCTTTGAGAGAGAAAAAGCTGAAGAGAAAGTATTGTTCTGCGGCAAGTGAAGTGAGGACTTATTTTTTACGCTGTAGGAATGGAAAGATGTGAAAGGCTGTCGGAGAAATTAGGAAAATATTTTAGACCTTTTTTTAAGACTCACTCGACGGAATTTTTAAAGGGTTATCGTGTCAATTTCATATTGGATGGTGTTTGTTACGCGTCTTGGTTGTAATCTTGGCTAGGCCAAAGCACGCAGTTCGAAATCAATAGAGTTTTAGATGATTCAGAGTGATTAAAGGAGGAATAATGGAATTCTATGATTTTTTTTTTTTTTGGATGGACCTTCCCAATTCACATATAGATGGGCGGTTTTAATGTAAACTATAAATTAGTTTTTAATTTTAAAAATTAATTAATTAGTTTTTTGTTTATTTTAATTTTTTTACAATAATAAATAAATAAATGTCAGTTTGATGATAATTTTTAATAAAATAATATTAAATTAAGTATTATTAATACATATCAATGAATTAATTAATTAATATTTAAAATTAAGACAATATTTAATTTTTTTTACAAAATTAAAAGAATTAATTTATAATTTATTGGTTGTTTGATAGAAAGATTATTTGTGTTATTGTTTTTTTATTTTTTAAGAAAAACTCACTATTAAAATTTTTAATTAATACTGATGAATGAAAGAATTAATTAATATTTAAAATTAAGAGAATTATTTAATTTATTTACAAAACTAAAAGAATTAATTTATGATTTATTCGTTGTTTGATAGATAGATTATTTGTGTTATCTTTCTTCTATTTTTAAGAAAAATTCACTTGTAAAATTTGTTTTTAAAAGGATGAAAAACTTTACAATTTGAAAAAGTTACATGTATCTTTGAGATAAAAAAGATCACGAAATAAATTGTTTGAATTCCCTGAGATAAAAATAAAATAAATATGTTCTAATAGAGACTCTTATTTTTCAGGCGTGAATTTCGAATCAATGATTTAAAGTTGAAATATCACAACACTCAATTATTTTTTATTTTTTATTTTTTTACCAGTAGAATTCAGCACTATTTTCTTGCCAACAATCATATATCAGAGGAAACTTGACTCGTCTAAGTTTAGGGAGATTCTCTTTTTCTCTTCGCATTTATGTAACTTCTTTATAAACTTCCATGCGAATATACTCACAAATTTTCTAGTCCTCTTGTAGTTTAAACATAACACCCATGTCCACTCAATAGTTGCACAGAATGGACTGGAAAACACTTAAAAATATCAAAATGGAAAGTAGATGGAACGTATAGTGTTACTACTCGTCGAATTCGATCTCAAAATTGGATAGATCGACGCTCCAATTTGTGATCGAGAACTTTGCAATGAAATAATATAAAGTTCAGTTTCATCTACCAAGCCAATGGGACTTTTTGTTAGTACTCACTTTAAAGAAAAAGATGAAATAAAAAAAAATGTTATTAATCGAAAGAAATAATACTTGAGAGATAGAGAGAATTTCATCAATCGAAAAAGACAAAGCTCACTCGAAAAAATATAAATATCATAAATAAAAAGATATGACACTTATATCGGTAGCCATCGAGATGCTTGAAACCACTTGACTACAATCGGGGACGAGTCGACATCCTCTAGGTTACAATAGCGAAACTACCGAAAGCAGTAACTATTATTTAATAAAACCGATGAATGTTATCTCGTTGAAAGAAGGAAAGAAAGCAATAAAAGTTATTGAACTACTTGTGAAAATGTAAAAGCTAACTGCTACAGAGTAAACTTGAAAACTTGAATAAGTTTGTATTGAAAAAATCTTGTGTGCTTGATTGTGATGCCTTCTTACGCCAATTTCTCTTCTTTAAATAGCTTTTGAACATGATTGATAATTGTCTTAGATTTGAAATTGGGTGTGAACAGTTGTTGGTAACCGCTTCTTCTTTAATAAAAACGTAACACTCCAATAATATTTCGAATCTCCCTCCTCATCAAACTTGGAAAACGAAAAGGATTATCCACATCATTTTTTAAAAATGCACTCGCTTCATCGAATATGTCATGTTACAAGACCAAACACACCATTCATTTAAGTTTTGTTGTTTTGTCGAGTTTAGTTGGTTATAAGACCAAACACATCATTTCATTTAAATCTCACTATATCACTATACAAGGATATCATACACGAACGATGTGTGATTTTTTAAATTTTGAGATGCACACACATGCTCCTCATTTAGCTCTTGAGAGATGAAGTAATGAAAATTCATCTTTCTAATGGGCAAAGCATTAAATATTGATAGACGTGACGAGACCGCATGACGTTTCGTCTCTTAAACAACTAGCCGTAAATACTTCAACGCCTCAATTACCCAACAAAAAATGGTTTTTATTTTATCATATCTGAATTGTTGAATCTTAAAGCTTAATCATCATAACCTTTAAAATATATCACATAAAAGGGAAAGTGGTTTTTTTAAGTGTTCACCTTTCTTGAGATTTCTTCTTCGATAAAACTTTACATGATATAAAAAACTCTTGCTTTCTTTTTGACATTTTATCAAACATTTCTTTTGTCTTTTATTGAATTCCTCTTTCATTTTTTTCATCTACAAAAATGGCTCCGAAACAAAAAACACTATGTCTTTGAAAAAGATTGTTCAAAAGAAATTTACCCCGTAGAGACTGCTATTGATCGAATGAACTCTTCGAGCAACCAAATATGATTAACACACGCTACTTTCTAGCTGTCACCGATAATGAAATCGTTGATGTTGTGATTGGGCACAAAGAGTGTAATAACCCCGTCCCAAAAACATATACTTGTTCATGCATACACACATACTTAGGAATTACACGCATATAATTATACCTGCATATGACATGTTAGTGGGGTATTGGATAATAAGTATTTTGAATAATAGGAAGAATTAGGGGCTTAATTGAATGTAATCTAAGTTGGGGGACTAGAATAAAAACAAGTCAAACTTGAGGGACCAAAATGAACTTTGTCAAAATATCTTCACAACCTTATCAAGATTACTTACATGATCATTGTCTCTTCTTATCCCATTTGGTTTCCCATTTTGAGAGAGAGAAAGAGAGAAAAAACCCATTTCTTTGTCAAATTCGGATGATCAAGCTGGAAATCTAGGTAAGTTCATCCTCAACTCTGTTTTGCACTCTTGATTTCGAGATTTTAGGGTCAGATATGGAACAATTTGTAAGAATAAAAATTGTTTTTTTGTGTCTTATCTAGCTCTCTGTGAAAAGGTTTTGTATTTAGTAATTTATATTTCGGGTTATGATGGTTTGAACACATATTGTCTAAGTGATCCGATGTCGACGGATTAGCGTGCAAACTTTAAAAATATGATATTCTTTGGGTGTTGAGTATTTCGACCTAATTTTTGGATATGTTTTATATTGATATGTCTAGTTCTTTTTAAAAAAAGAATTAGGTCTTGATCATGTCCCAATCTAGATTTATTATTGTTTGTTTGGAGACTGCTCGGTAACAAGGGTGCTTGGAAACTAGTTAGAGTTTAAAAATCTAGAATAAATCATGTATATGGAATATTGGGATGATTTTTGGATATGTTAGATCCCTTTGAGTCTAGTTTCATGTGAAACTGGAATTTTGTAATTTTACCTCATATTTTAGGATTTATAGTATAAAGAGTGTGAACTATGAAGGAGTCAAGTACCCATAAAGAAATGGCAGCAACTATGATTTTTAGAAAATCACCATGAGTTGTGTATTTCATACCTAGACTTGATTTTTGGATATGTTAGATCGTTGTGAGTCTAGTTTCATGTGAAACTAGAATTGCATCATTTGAATCTGTATTTTGGGACTTATGGTAGAAAGAGTGAAAAGGGGTCAAGTACCCATAAAGAAATAAGTTAACCCTAAAGTCATATTTTGTACCTTGAGCATATTTAGAAGTTTGATCATGATAAAATGACTTATAAAAGTATATGCGTATGTGTTTATAGACGTTGAGGAGCGTGAGGTGCAAGACGCGACGCATTGATAAACGACGAAGACGTCATTTTTGTGAGTTGAATAATAATAGTTGTGCCATGATGTGTTATTACTATCGAGTCCTATATTATATTTATTGATATTGATATTATGATGTGAATGATATGCCGTTTGTTAGTTGATGCAAACGTTGTGTTTATTGATGTTATAACAATATTATGTTTATTGATATTGATACTATGATGTGAATGATGTGTCGTTTGCTAGTTGACGCAAACGTTATGTTTATTGATGTTATAATGGATATGTACCATTGTGTAAGCTATGGATGTTGTATATGCTATATGTGAAACATTCATGATATATGCAAGACTAAGAGGTTAAAGTTATGACTGGCTTGTCCAAGTTTCGCAAATACAAGTTTACAAGGACCCAACGGGTCAACTACAAGTTATAAAAGCCGGCCAGCAATACATGTGTACAAGTTTACAAGTTACAAGTACCGGGACGAAACTTGACATGTCCAAGTTATAACCGATAAGAAAAAGAAAAGCATGTAATCTTAGAGTCATATGAACTACCTGTATTGTTTATATGTGATGATACTAGATGACGTGATTGCATGTTATGGTTTCAATGGATTATTGTTCTCTCATTGAGTAGCATTTCATTAAAAATGCAATTATCTTTTTAGGTACTAAGAAGCGAAGTGAAAGTTAAAGTCATCTTTTGTTGTTCAATTCACATAATGAGTGACGAGTCGACTGGCGATCTCCCTCTCCTCTCTCTCATTATGCCGAGCATATGCATCCTGTAAGATTTTTAAATTATATATGTAACTATGTAAATATGAACTCCTTGAGGTGTTTTGAGACGTGTTTATGAATAAAGAAAAAGTGGTTTTGATTGAATATCCAAGGGTTATAAGTGGAAAGAATGTTGTTGATTAGGTTTTGAAGTGTTA